TCCTTGGACAAGTGTAATGTGTTTGCTACATTCCTTGAACATTTACATTTTATAGTTGACACTTTCTATTTACTTTTCCATGATTTCTGTAGAATTTATTTATTTGGGCAAAGGTGTAAGATTGTTATAAAAAATAACTATATTCAAACCACTCCCTACAATTCACAAATGATTTATGGAGCTAATGACAGAAAAAATATTCGGCAATGTTCCCCTTATGTGGATACACAGTCAAGTCCACTATTCAAGTGTTCTCTTTGTGCATTTATTTGCAATATGGGAAGATGTTCTCTTTCTTCCTCTTGCTTTTGTTTTCATTCTCGTTCTCCTTCTCTTTGATTATACAAATAAATAAATGTTATTTGTATACAATGATATTGTACCTAAATGGAATATATAAGTGAAAGAAACTCTTTACAGATCAATTTTATTTGTTATACGTTGAGACCATAATATACATAGTCTGTATTTTCACTCTCTTAAAATATATTACAGATATTCAGCAGGTCAGTAGCTAAAATCAAAACTTATGATTTTTGACACCTGCATAATATTCTGTAACAACAAAATGCATTGTCTTGTTGTTGTGTGCCATCAACTTGAGTCAGAAGCAACCCACAGCGGACCCTCCAGTGAGCTTTCAAAGGCAGTAAATCTCACTGTCCATCCTCCTCCAGAGGACCCGCTGGTGGATTCAAACTTCTGGTCTTTGGCATTGTAGCACAGCTTCTTCCCGCTAGACCAAACCCTATTGGGCAGTTCCACTCTTTATTATTAGGCCTCTATGAGTTAGAATCTATCTTGATAATTTTAAGGTTTGGTTTTCTATTAATGTACAATGGAAACTCTTCGAGCAGTTACATTTTGTTCTTTCTCTACTAATAGCTGGAGAGTTAGCTATGAGTCTGTCCAGGTTCTAGAACTCTAAAGTACATAACTACCACAACTACTGTTGTTGTTGTTGTTATGTGCCATCGAGTCATTTGTGACTCATAGTGACCCTATGTACAACAGCCCTAAACCGTGCTCTATCCTATGCCAATCTCATTGCCTCCGACACACCCATCCCGATTACCCCAGTCACTGAATCAATCCACCTCATAGAGGGTCTTCCCCTCCTGTGCTGTCCCTCTACTCTATCAAGCAAGATGTCCCTCTCTAAAGATCTGTCTCTCCTTACAACATGTCCAAAGTATGTCAGACGAAGCCCCAGAATCCTTGCCTACAAGGAGCAGCTTGGTTTAACCCTCTCTACGATGAATCTGTTTGTTTTCTTGGCAGTCCATGGTACATTCAATACTCCTCTCCAGCACCACAGCTCAAAGGCGTCAATTCTCCTTCTATACTCCCTAGTCATTGTCCAACTCTCTGATGCATAACAAATGATTGCAAATACCATGGCCTGTATCAGGCGCACCTTAGTCTCTAGAGAGACACCGTTGCTCTTGAGTACTTTAGAGAGGTCCCTAACCGCAGACTTTCCCATCACAATACGTTTAGGAATATCTTCGTATATATGTATTTACATAAGAGAAGTTTTGGTTCAATGGGTAAGATTTAAAAATGGCTGACTAATGGGTCAGAATGCATGTTTATTGGTCTATATTGATCTATAGGGAGGTCTAGTAACCTAGTGGTTAAGGAGCCATGCTGCTCACTCAAAGGCAGGCAGTTCAAGTTCAAATCTACCAACTGTTCTTCAGGAGAAAGATGGACCATCTCCCATGACCCACAGCTACTGAATATCTGCTTGACAGTCAGCTATGAGTTGGTTCCAACTCATACAACAACAACATAATGATGGACACAGAGTCTCTGAGTTGCTTTGCTGCCAACCATCCACAAGTACCTTGAAAGAAACGTCACAGAGTCTATTGCCAACAAGCCAGCCATCTAAACCCATTGAGGTACAGCTGTACTTGGACACATATGGGGCCACAGTAAGTCTGAATCAACTCAACAACTAGCTTTTTAGAGCTCCACATGGATCTGTATATCAAAATATTGATAATTTTCCATATACAATTTACATACCATCTAATCTTTAGCACATCAGCCAAGATCATCCTAATGGAAAAGTTCTCTTATAAAAAAAGTTCAAAATAAAACAAAAACCCTTTGCTTTCCGAGAAAACCTCAGTGCTGAAAGGAAATGTACCTAAAGCCTATAATTGTTACCCTGTTATTTCAAGGATAATTCTCTACATTTTGAGAAAATGTTTTTGCTCAGTCTTTTTTTCCCCTTAAACCTATGATAGAGTTTTGTTGTTGCTGCATCCGTTCAAGCTGGAACCTACTCATATCTTATCTTCCAATGGGTTTTCAGAGGCAGTAAGTCACAGCAGAAGAGACTGCCTATATTTTTTCCCATAGAGCAGTTAGCTGGTGAGTTTGAACTGAAGGCCTCTGAGTTGGCAGCACAGCTGTGGATTTTATCCTGGAAACAAATGATCATATTTGCAGGCTCAGCCATGCTTGGAAACTTCAGGAGAACAAAAGTGTTCCTAATCATATGTCTATTTCCATCACTTGCTCATTTCTTCCTGAGATTCTATAAGCCAATTCTATCAACTTTCTTCTTTCGTTACTTTCAGATATCAATCTAAGCAGCTGTTGTTGTTGTTATGTGCTGTTGAGTCACCTGCCATAGCGATTTTATGTACAACAGCCCTATACCCTCCTCTGTCCTGTGCCAATCTCACTGTTTCTGACACACCCATCCTGATTACCCCAGTCACAATCCACCTCATAGAGGGTCTTCCTCTTCTGAGCCTTCCCTCCACCCTCCTAAGCATGATGTCCCTCTCCAAGGACTGGTTCCTCCTTGCAACATGTCCAAAGTATGTGAAACTTCAGAATCCTTGCCTCCAAGGAGCAGCCTGGTTTAACCCTTCCAGGATGAAACTGTTCATTTTCTTAGCAGTCCATGCAATACTCGTCTCCAGCACCACAGCTCAAAGGCATCAATCCTCCTTCTATCATCCCTAATCATTGTCCAGCTTTCTGATGTATAGCAAGTAATCTAGGCAGCAGCTGTTACAATATATAATGCATGATAGTGCTGTTCTTATAAAAAGCTAAGATTCCCCCCACCCCGTTCTTTTCCTCTGAACCAGCCGTTTCTTGGTAGTCCCTCAAGTAAATTGGCTTGACTTTTACAAACATAAAGACAGAAAATATGTCCAGTTGACTCGGAAATTTTAACAATCTGGAAAAAGTTGGCATTTCATTCACTGACCATCAATATATAATACCTCATCTACTTTTCCAAAAACCACAGGAGAGAAATATTTTACAGATGAGAAAACTAGAAGTCAGAGAGGTTAAATAACTAACTCAGAGTCTAACAGAAAATAGGTAGTAGGAAAGCCCAAAGACTCATGTATAATCTGCTTAGTTACAAGGCTCACACTCTAAAGTACCACTATACGCTCTACCTAACCTGACCCAAGACTGACCAGTTGCTTTTGCCTCAAATCCGTTCTTATTTTTGGGTTACAAGTTACATGTCTATTCAAATGAGTTGTCACTTTTATTAGAGACAGGAGGGGAAGCTCCTTTGGCAAGAGCATAGTCACACAACTAGAGTGGGCTTTTGACATAGCGTAAGAGAGGGCTGTTGAACTGCAGTCAGAGGCTGACATTTCTCCTAGAATTCTGATGGATGGACTATTTACACTCACAAAATTTTTCAGTGTTAGACATCATCCTAATGTCATTAAGTCATCTCTATTGCAGTACATTAAAGACACTCAGTATAAATGAAAAGAATCTCAGTAAAAACTAAATGCTGAATGAACAAATGACAACATGCTTAAAAGGTGGAGGGGTCAGTGAAGGAAAAGACCCTCAAGGTGCTGGATTGTCACAGTGACTACAGCAAAGGGCTCAAATGTGTCAGAGATGATGAAGACAGGACAAGGTTCAAGTCTGTTGTTGTAAGGTTGTTAGGAATCCTACTGGACCCAGTGGCATATAACTAAAACTTAACAAGAAGTCTTATTTGGGAAGCTAAGAGGGTCTTTCTATGAGCTTTCCAAGTGACACCTCTTGTGTTTCAAGAACTTCAGTTGGGGAAGGGAGGATAATATTTTATTCTTCCTTGCATTCAAACCAGCATCATGCATGAATAATTTTCTCATTGATTAAAGTATGGACAAAGAAGGAAAAAGAAGAGTATGAACAAAAAAATGAACACAGCCTTGGTCTTTCTTTAAATTAATAAAGGAGAGGTCTAATTTGGTAAGTTTGGAGTGAAAATGCTCTTGGGGGGGGGAGGCGGGAAGCGCTCTTCATAGTAAATGGCAACTAATCTTTTTCTCAATTCTTCCTTCGAGCCTTTGGTATTGAAAAAGCAGCACCGAGCAGAATCTCTCTCGCACGTGCAGGTTGAATCTAAATCACTACCTGCTGATCCAGCTACCAGAATTGAAAAGAATCAGGCGAGATGGTTTGGCCAGCAGCCAAGCTTGGAACTCACCAACCCAAAACCAGCGGGAGGAAGCCACTGAAGGACACTCTGGGGGGCGGGGGGGGGGCGCTTCTCGCCACGAAAGGCTGCCTGGCGCTCAAGACCAACGGTCTTCTAGGATCAGAGAAGGGCGTCCGCCCACCCTCATACCCCAAACTCAGAAAGCAGAGCTGCCAGCTCCAATCTTTCCCCATGACACCCCAGGCAAGCACTTTTCGTCCTTTTTTGTCTCCAAGTTCCCCAAACTGAACCTTAGTGATGTGAGGTAAGAAAGCGCGCATAGAGCCAGCCAACGCAGCCTCATCCCGAAACCTAGGGGTGACCCGGGCATGACCGGGAGCCACGCAAGCATCCCATGCCCCTCAGAGGCTCTCGCTGAGGACAAAGGGAGTCCGAACCAGGATGGAAACCCCAGCATTCTGGGGGACTCGGGTTGAGGTAAGAGTCACCACCATGAGGTTTTCCGAGCCAGCAACCCCCACCTCACCCTGGCGCCCCGCGCACTACCCCAGCCCCGGGGCGCACTCACCATTTGTAGCCGCGGCCGCGCTTGAACTTGAGAGTGAGCGCCGTCTCCAGGACCAGCAAGAGGTTGAGCAAGGCGAGCAGCCAGAACCAGGGCTCCTTCTTCACCTCGGTCACTCGCCAGACACCGACCAGCGAGTGCAGCACGAAGAGCAGCCGGGTGGCCAGCGCGTTGAGCAGGACCAGCGGCTCCATGCCGCCCCGGCGGTCGCCCCGTGCGCCCCGCAGACCCGGCCCTAGCGCCCCGGGGGCGGGGACGTGGCAGAAGCGAGCCCGCCGGGGACTTTCTGCCGCCACTGCTGTCCCTCCTCACCCTCGGTGGCCTGTGGAGCCAGAGAGTGCCGGTCGCCCCTCCCCCGAACTTCCTGAGAACTCTCTAAAAAGGGGGAGTCCAAGCCCAGCTTTTTGGGACTGCTTGCTTTCCGGGGAGTCTGGGGCCGCGCTGCAGAGGCTGCAGGGCGTTATATTCCAGCCCAGCCCAGCCCCCTCCCCAGCCCCGGAGCCAGTCTCCATCCTGCAGCCCCCCCTCAATCCCCATTCTCACTGCCAACCCACGGCCTCCTGTGAAGCCTGGGGGATCCCAAGGCTCGGCAGCGGAGATGGTCAAGGAAAGAGGAGGAGGAGGAGGTGGCCTGAAGGTCAAGGTGCTGCAAAGGGAGAAGGGCTGGAGAAGAGGGGGGAGGGCGCACCTGTGACACCTCCTCCCTCCTCCACCAGTACATTCATTCCCTCACATTTGGCTCACGTATGTGCGCTCCCAGTGACTGTGGACTGAAGAGGAGGAGGGCTAAAGAATTCGCTGCCAAAGCAGTTTGGGGAAATGCGAAGTTCCTGCCCGCGTTGCAGAATCAGAACTTCCCAAGACTAGAGGGAGAAAGATGCGCTGGCCTTCTGAAAGCCTCTGAGCCCTTGCTCAGAGAAAGGGGAGGCCAGGGTCACTACTACTCTTTGGCACAGCCTTTTTAAAGCCAAGACACCTTTATTAAGTTAGCCTTCACAGCCCCACTTATCCTTCTCCCCAACTATCTCTCTCCCTACACATTCCTGAAATAATATAGGAGGCATGAGGCAGGAGATAGAGGATAAAGCCAGAAGTGAGATGGGAAAGGGGACCATGTGAAGTGGAGACCTACACACTAGCCTCAGGGACTCATTAGGAAATTCAAGTCCTGGTTTCCCCAAAGCACTTCCTGATCTGTGTTCTCCTCGCCTAAAGTCTGTACTGTTTACATTTTAAAGAATTTCATTTCTTATTGAAGTAAGTTTATCTTAAAAGGACACTTTACATCATTCATAAATGGAAAACCAGTTTGATTTGCTATATAAAGATCGACCCCACTTGGACTTCCTTGGTCTCAACAAGGATGATAAAATCATTTTTATTTCAATTGAAAATTAAAGTGAACTGAAACTAACTTAACTGCAATCTCATCAACGTTCCCAAGGCTCTGGGCTTCAGACCTCTTTCCTGGTAAGAAGAGCTCCAGTTACCTAGTTAAAAGAGCTTTGTGTTGCAAACTAAAAGACCAGGCAGGCATGCCTGGTGTTTCAGTCCACTAGTGGACTAAGTGGGCAGCCCCCTCCCATTGTGATTTCAATGCTCAGAAATCCAGTGGAGGGTCAGTGTTAGCAGTGAACTTGATTTGGTTTGAGTCTTCTAACTAAGGTGTTGTTAGCACAGCTTAACCAAAGTTTGGCTGCTAACCTAAAAGGACGTTGGTTTAAACCACCTTCACGGGTGAAGAAAGCTGGCAATTTGCTTGTGTAAAAATGGAGCATACTTTTTTCATGTTGAATATATGACAATTGATCAGAACCCACTTGACATATTGTCACACTATTGTTGCTAGGTGTCTTCCAGTCCCGTATGACTCTTAACAACCCTGTGAACAGCAGACCCGAATCCTGTCCTTTTCTGTGCCATCCTCATCATCTCTGTCACACTTGAGCCCATTGCTGCTGCCACTGTGTCAATCCATCTCTTGGGATCTTCCCTTTTTTACTTTACCTTCCTTCCATCTTTCCAGGCACAATGTCCCTTTCCAAGGAATATCTTCTACTAACAACCTGTCCAAAGCATAAGAGATCAAGCTCCACCATCTTTGCCTCCAGGGAGCACTCTGGCTGTGTTATTGTTAAGATTTATCTGTTTCTTCTGTTGACAGTCTATGGGATATTCAGTGCTCTTCAACACCACAGTTCACAGGCATTGATTCTTCTCTAATACTTATTCAATGTTTAGCTCTCAGATATGTGATGGAAAAGATGATGGCCTGAAGCAGGTGGACCTTTGTCTTCAAACCGACCTCATTGCTCTTAAGTATTTTGGGGAGGTCCCTGAAAGTGAACTTGCCTGAGGAGATTTTATACACACACACACACACACACACACACACATTCACTCATCATTTCTCCATATCTGAACAGTTTGTGTGTTGAGCAAATTATGAAACTGTACATCAGGATCAGAGGAAGACTCATCAACAGCCTGCATTATGCAGATAACACAACCTTGCTTGTTGAAAGTGAAGGAGACTTGAAATGTTTTCTGTAGAAATGAGGGACTATATCAGCCTTCAAGAAAATAAAGGTCCTCACTAGGCCAATAGGCCACCTCATGATATACACATATATGAATTGAAGTTGTCAATGAGTTCATATTGCTTGAATCAGCAATGATCACCCTTGGGATGAGCAGTAAGGAGATAGGAGATATTTTGCTTTATCACGTTGTTGTTGTATGTGTCATCGAGTCACTTGTGACTCATATCTACCCTGTGTACGAGAGATTCTCACCACTGGACCAATCGGCAGCATCAGGATGGATGGTGAAGAGATTGAGATTGTACACAGCTTTAGTTTGCTTGGCTCCATAGTCAACAGTCTTGGCACCAGCAGCCAGGAAATTAAAAGGCGCATTGCCATGGGAAAGTCTGCTGTTAGGGACCTCTCCAAAGTGCTGAAGAGCAGTGGTGTCTCTCTGGAGACTAATGTGCGTCTGATACAGGCCATGGTCTTCGCAATCAGAGAGTTGGACAATGACCAAGGAGGATAGAAGGAGAACTGATGCCTTTGAGCTGTGGTGCTGGAGAAGAGTATTGAGAATACGATGGACTGCTAGGAAAACAAATAGATTTGTCCTGGAGAGGGTTAAACCGGGTGGCTCCTTGGAGGTAAGGATTCTGAGGCTCCGTCTAACTTACTTTGGACATGTAGTGAGGAGAGACCGGTCCTCAGAGAGGGACATCATGCTTGGGAGGGTGGAGGGACGGCGCAGGAGAGGAAGGCCCTCTATGAGGTGGATTGATTCAGTGACTGGGATAATTGGGATGGGAGTGTCAGAGACAGTGCGATTGGCTCAGGACAGAGCGGAGTTTAGGGCTGTTGTACATAGGGTCGCTATGAGTCGCAGGTAACTCAACGGCACATAACAACAACAACAACATGTACAAGAGCATTAAACCCTGCCCTATCCTGTTCCAACCTTATTGACTCTGACACACCTACGCCCACTACGCCAGTAATGGAATAGATTCATCTCATTGAAGGTCTTCCTCTCTTTCCCTGTCCCTCCACCCTTCCAAACATGATGTCCCTCCCCAAGGACCAAAGAATATCAGACGAAGCTTCAGATTCCTTGCCTCCAAGGAGCAGCCCTATTTCACCCTCTCCAAGATGAACCTGTTTGTTCTCCTAGCAGTCCATGGTATATTCAACACTCTTCTCCAATAGCACAGCTCAATGGCATCAATTCTCTTTTTTACTATCCCTAGTCATTGTCCAGCTCTCTGATGCATAGCAAGAAATTGCTAAGGTTATGGCCTGGATCGGGTGTACCTTAGTTTCCAGCCTGACATCGTTGCTCTTCAGTACTCTGGAGAGGTCCCTGACAGCTGACTTTCCCAATGCAGTTTGTCTCTCGATTTCCCGGCCGCTGGTAACAAGAGTGTTGATTGTGGAGCCAAGTAAACTAAAACTGTTAACTATCTCAATCTAATCACCATCCATACTGATGCTGCCAATTGGCCCAATTGTGAGAATCTTTGTCTTCTTAATGTTGAGCTTCAATCCATATTGAAGGCTGCAGTCTTTGACCTTCTAAAGCAGACTGTTCAGGTTTTCCTCAGTTTCAGCATACAAGGTTGTATCATCTGTCTCACTGTAAATTGGAGCAACACATAATAACAAAACAACAATGATACTAGTACCACACAGGACTGTTATTTTTATTACATTAGAAAAACTGGACAGAGAAACTAAAATGGGACTATCTTTTCTTTGTTAGATTATTCAGCTTAAAACCATGCCATACTTTTTTTTCTAAAATCAGGTGTAAAAACCTCTAAATTATTGAACAATGTGTACCAACAAGTTAATTTAAATTTCCACATCATGCTATCACCTACTACACTAATCAGCTATACTCCAAGGTGGCATGGAATCACCTACATTGAAGGGCACTCAGGAAAATAGAAATTCAAACAAACAAAAAATTTTCCTTGATCTCAGTCCCAGACAGAACTGGTCTTCTTCGAAGCAGACCTTCCCCTCCTCTCCCTGTGGAGTCAGCATTCTGTGGAAGTCAGAGATCCAGCAAGGCTTCATGGTAGATGAGTCAAATCTGACTCATCGTGATGCTCTGTAACACCACAGAACAACCAGTCTGGTTTTCTCAGCTGTAATCACATGGAGTTGATCTCAAGATCTTCCTCTGTTCACTCCACTCAGCGTTGCTGGGTGAGTTCTACCTCCCAGTGTCTTTGTTAGCAGTGGTGAGCTTAACCATTGTCCACAGCTGTTTAAGGGTCCACCAGCTGCCTTAGACTCCTGGGTAAGCCTCCTGTGCTGTGACTTTGCACTTCAGTTTCCTCATTTAATAAATGCAGTAGTTGTCGTTGTTGGGTGCTTGTACATCTTCATCGTGACCTTGTGAACAACAGATTGAAGTCTTGCCCTTTCCTGCGCCATCCTCACAGTTTCTGCCACGCTCATGCCCACTACTCAGCTACTGTGTCAGACCATCTTACTGAGGAGCTTCTCTTTTGCTGACCCTCTACTTTTCCAAGCATGATCTACTAAGTGCCTATTCCAAGGTTGTTACTGTTGTATGCTGTTCTGTGGATCTAACCCATAGCTGACCCTCAAGTGGTTTTCAGAGGCAGTAAATCACATGAGAAGAGATGGCCTAGCCTTCT